CCGCCCCCCTCGCTCGCCTGGGCCCCCCTGAGCCGTGGGCCGCGGCAGCGGCTCCTACCCTGCCTCCTGCAGACCTGCTCCTTGCGGTAGCCCGGGGGGCGGCAGGCAGCTTCTTACCTAGCCAGGGACACAGGCACTGAGGACCTCAGTGTCCAGCACCTCGAAGCGCGCACAGTGGCACACCCTACCCTGAGATGCCTTCCACGCGCTGGCCAAGTGTGCCGGGCCGGGCTGGGCGTCAGGCTCACGGCCGGGATGCCTGTTACACATGCGGTGCTCAGAGACCTCTGCCGGCCGGTCTAGTAGCCAGAGCCCCAAGGGCCCTGCATGGAAAGCACACGTCTGGCCAGCCGGTGGGCAGGAGTCCCAGTGGGGAAGGGCTCCGTGTGGAGACGCACCTGCTGTGTGACACCATGCCCAGGGGTGGCTCACCCTCCCCGTGCCACCAGGTCCCTCGACCTCCTCTCAACACAGGGCCCTGGCTGGCTCTCGTGTCAGCCCCCAGAGCTCTGACAGCTTCCACACACGCCAGCCAGGAGAGCTGGCCCACAGGCTCCCCACGGCCCCCCGCCTCTGCCATGGAGGGCAGGTGGGTGCTGACCGCCAGGGCCTGTGAGAACAGGGACGAGCCAGGATCCAGCGAGCTGCCACGGTGGGGTCATAAACCTGGACATGGCCGGCAGAGACGTAAGGCCAAGGTGTTTGAGCCTCAGCCAGCAACAGAGCCGACAAGGCCATCCCTGCCACCTCATGGCCATGCGGCCTCGCGGGTCTCAGATGAGCAGGGCGCCTGGTTCAGGGAACAGACCCACGAGCTGCAGCAGTGCGCCCAGAAAGGAAGAGCCGAAATGAAAGCGAACGGCAGGAGTGACTACGTTCAAGCGACCCTTTGTAAAATCAATTAGCTCAGTGTAATGACATTAGCTACAGCGGCTCCGGAAACAGTTATTTACAGAGAAAGGAGTCACAATAAAGATGCCATGGACAGGAGTGCCTGGCGCTCCGAGGCCCCGTCCGGACCCCTTGACTTACGCGGCCCGCTCTCCCTGGGGACAGAGGCCCGGGTTCAGCCCTCGGTGTCTGTCAGCTGCTGTTTATTCACCATCCAGGCTTAGAAGAACCCACTCAGGCCCAGCCACAGTGGTGCAGCACAGCATGCACCTGGCACTGCCAGAGCCATGTGGAAGGTCGGGGTTCGTCCCGGGTCGACTTGAGCACGTGTGTTTGCTGTGATCACGGCAGGGGGAAGGCTGGGCACGTGTGTGATGTGGTCACGGCGGGGGGAAGGCTGGGTACGTGTGTGATGTGGTCATGGCAGGGGTAAGGCTGGGCACAGCAGGGGTAAGGCTGGGCACATGTGTGGTCACAGGGATCAAGAAGGCTGGGCACATGTGTGTGTTTTGGTCACGGCAGGGGGAAGGCTGGGCACGTGTGTGATGTGGTCACGGTGGGGGCAGTGCAACGGGAGACCCCACTGAGGGTGCCTGGCTTTTCTTTTTCTGTGTCTGGCTTGTGAAGTGACTAGACACACTTACAAAAACCTTTGGGCCAAGCCGTGGTGGCGTGGGCAGCGTCACGTCACTGAGCAGTACTGGAGCCACGTGAGAGGCTGGGGTTTGAATCCCGGGCCGACCTGCAGATGCCGGGCACGCTCAGTGCACCTGTGCTTCGGCCGGCCGGCTGGGAACTGACGTGGAGAATGGAGCGTGTCGCGACCAGGGCGAGGGGCCCCGTCTCCCGTGACGCTGACTTTCAGAGCATACACACTTGCCATCACTGTGCCAGCATGGCCTTGCCTACAGGTGTGCTAACGACCGTAACCAGGCAGCCGGCAGCAAGCCGACACGATTGTATTATACCGTGGGCACGGGAGGCCCACCTGGACACCATGGCCGCCATCATGCTTGCTTCCCAGGTCCTCCCCCTCCCGATTTCACCGTGTCTTTGGCCACCGGTGGCATCAGCCATGCCTTGGGGTCAGCAGGTATCAGTAAGTTCAACTCCCTCGAGAGCTGTCGATGTCACCCTCAAACCATAACCTACTGGGTTATACTTTATTCTGGACTCGTTGCCCCGGGTGTCCGGTAAGAACACGTATTCACTAACACGAAGGCGACACTGCCAGCCAGCCTACAACGCGGGCTTGTGAAGCCACTCGAGGGCGACGGGGCATTGCCGGGACGTCAGGAACCCACGTGCTGGGCCCTGGCTGCCCTGCCAGGGTTCAGTGAGAATGTAAGCCGCCCCCGGGGTCCAGGGTGGGGCCGTGACTGCACTCGGGGGCGAGGGGGGGTAATCAGAGCGGGAGGGAGACCTGACCGGGCAGAAACCGACGGCCCCGCTCTGCTCAGGGCCCTGCCCTCCACCCGGCTGGGCCGCCGTGCCCCCTCCAGTCACCCGAGGCAGCACGCCTGTCGTCCTCGTCCACCCCGTCTCAGGGATGTCTGTGAGTAACAGACAGGTGAGGGTCTTCGACGAGGTCACAGAAAACGCTTATTATGAAGGCTCTATGTACGGGTTTCTAAAAATTTGCAACAAAATAAACATTAATTCCATTTTTCTACAAACGTTTTGAAGTCCCTCTGAGTAGGGAAACAACATCCTTTTACTCCAAAGATGTTTTGCAGTGGTAGGTCCCAAATGCTGCTCTGCTGGCTCCCTCACCCGCACCCCACTGAGGACGTGGCCGGGAACGGGGCCTCGCGCTGCGCAGCAGTCCTCCAGTGGACTCGGGCGATGAAGCCCGCTCGATTTCCAAGGGCGTGACGATAAATGGCTGATGGTTTACGGTGGCCACACACAGCCCGTGAGCAGATGAGTAAGACACTGCCGGCAGGACAAGCCCTTCACGACCTCAGTGTGAATGTGCACGCGCGCACGTGTTCATTTATGTACACGAGAGACAGAGTGAGACCCCGTGATAGGATCTTCACGCACGTGTTCATTTATGTACACGAGAGACGGAGTGAGACCCCGTGACAGGATCTTCACGCGCGTGTTCATTTATGTACACGAGAGACGGAGTGAGACCCCGTGATAGGATCTTCACGCGCGTGTTCATTTATGTACACGAGAGGTGGAGTGAGACCCCGTGATAGGATCTTGCAAAATTCTGCTGGACAAAACAGTCCTTGACGCCTTTTTAAAGTATTTATTCATTTAACGTATGAGAAGGAGATTCCTGTGACAGGGTCTCGTCACATGGAGCCCCTCCTCAGGCTTCTGGCCAGCTGGGATCCCAGGGCTGGTCAGGTCAAGCTGGGATCTAAACCCAGGGCCTGCATCTGGCTCCAATGCCACGCAGTGGCAGCCCACTGCCCAAGGTACTGCCGCTGGGCTCTCTCTTCTCTCTCAACTCTTTTTCTTAATCTGCCAGAGACAGAGAGGAAGAGGGGGCACGCAGCCCAAGTTGCTGCGGTCGCGCCGCCCCGCCCCGCCTCTCCATCCTGTCTAAGGCACATACATGTGAGCCTGGCCTGCTTTTCAAGATGGCAGGGCTGGGATTTAAACTGCCTAGTCAGCCACATGGGATCTGAATCCCTAACCATTAGGTCACTAGCCAGGCCTCGGTCTGTCCTTCTGATATAACAACAAAAAATTTGGTTTTGTATTTTTTTATTTCTAACTTATTTTTTTCCTTTTAAAGAGGCAGTTTAAAAATGGTTATGTTAGCTGCTGTTTTGGTATAATGCTCTATTCTGTATATATACAGAGTATAGCGCCCTATTGTGTGCACGTACAGGTACAGCGCCCTGTTGTGTGCACGTACAGGTACAGCGCCCTATTGTGTGCACGTACAGGTACAGCGCCCTATTGTGTGCACGTACAGGTACAGCGCCCTATTGTGTGCACGTACAGGTATAGCGCCCTATTCTGTGTATATATAGGTATAATGCTCTATTCTGTATATATACAGGTATAATGCTCTATTTTGTATATTTACAAACTATTTTTGCACATGAAAACAGAAAAGTTAACTCAAGGTAGTATTTTTTTTCTCCTTTGGGGAGATTTCTACTATCGGGTACATGTGCTTGCCAAACAGAGATAGAGACAGAAAGCGAGAAATCACCCCCTGGGGGGATGGCCACAGCACAGTCCCTTCTCCTCTATTCTCCTCTTGGGCACGCATGCACATGCGCCCGGTATGAGTTTAAGCTGCCGGCTCCAGGACGTGACCAGCGGTTGACTACATGGGAGTCCAGCGACATAGCCATTACACCATCTGCTAGTCCCAAACTAAAAGTAGTATTTAGAATATGATTTTCTGTAAATCATGCAGCTGGGATACCAAATTCCTTGGATTCAACTCCAAAATGGATAAACGAAAAGGAATACGTGCTCTCATAGGGTCTGCCAGAACAGGCCACGGTGAACATCTTGGCAAAACCCGAGGGCCCGCAGGTGCTGAGGTGGCACGCTGGCAAGGGGCTGGCGTCGAGGTCGCAGTCAGGGGCCCAGACCCACACTGTGGGAGGCCGCCTGGGACTCCAGGGCACCTCGCAGCTCAAAGGGCCGAGGTGGCGCAGGGTTCGTCGTCGTTCCCCACGGCACAGTGGCAGCTGGCGAGCTGCACGGCCGTCTGGGGCAGATGGGTCATGACAGCGCCATCTCGACACAGACCCCTGGTGTGAGAACGCCCGGTCATGTCGTCATCCGTCCTGCCCGCGGCAGCACACAGACGTTCCGACAACCCAGTTTTAAGGAAACGGAACTAAGGTAAAGAAAACAAAGGAGTGTCACTCAGTTCAGCACCCTGTCTCTGGACAGTAGAGCGTTCCAGAAGGAAAACACTGATCCTGTTCTTGAAGGCCTTGAGAGAATGGGACTCCACAGCCTCACTTTCACTGTGATCACCTGTTTCTTCACGCCCTCGGAGGAGAGACACCGATGAACCCTCCAGCAGTTAGATACTGCTCGCTCCTCTGTCCCTCTTGAGGTCCGGGACGTCCTGTCGAGGCGCCTGAACGAGCAGGTGCCGCATCCCGAACCGTGCGACGTGTGCGTGGACCTGCCCGGTGCCCACCCCCGGTGGGGTGCAGGAGGTACTGTTTCCATCCGCACCTGAGCCTGGGAGCCACAGCCCGTCCAGGCACACCTGACGGCACATGGTCAGCCGCGGGCACCGCACAGCCCTGACCAGCCGCGGCGCCGGCCTATGGGTGCCCCATGCCCACAGCTCTGCAGCCTCCCCTGCCAGTGGTGCACTGCCTGCTCCAGTCCGCCAGGTTGGGCTCCCTGTGTGCGGGCACGTGGGAGTCTCCCAGGAACTCACCCGTGCTTCAGGCTGACTCCTCCTCCGGTCCCAGTGACCCAGCCCAAGTGGTAAAACTGCCTGCACAGTTCTGGGATCAGGAATCTTGGATGTTCTTTGTCCTTAAAAAAGAGAAAACGCTTTTAAAAACAGACATATTATCAATAACTACTTGGGTGGGCAAACAAGCCACCTAAAGGGAGTTTAAGAAAATGCCCCATGGGGAGCGCGTGCAGCGAGGGAGGGAGCTGTTAGGGCGTGCTCTCTGCTGTGTCCACGGTCCCGCTACCACAGCACTCGGCAGCCTGGATTACTCTGCACGAGGCCAGGAGGAACACCACAGGCCAGGCCGCAAGGACAGTCGGGAAATGCTCCATGCAGTGGCGTGGTGGTGAAGGTCATGGAGCCCATATGGCAGGTCCTGCAGTTTGAGTCCCGGACCCAGGGGCTTGAAAACCACGGGGGCGTGTGTGCGTGCCTGGCCAGTACCTCAAGAGAATGGAAGAGAAGGGACTGCAATGTGGCCCCCCCAGGCTGACTTCACTCTTTCTCTCTCCAGCGAGTGCTGGTGCCCCGAGGCAAAAATTAAA